ATGGATACCCCACTCTGACACAGTATACTGACTCCGAGCCGACCAGTCCTTGTTTAGCCTCTAAATGCCAAGCATCAGGAAGGGCAACAACAAGTACGATTTTTATACGTCTTTTGGTATGGTGCTGCCGGGGATCGAACCACGGACCTTCCGCTTTCCGGGCGGACGCTCTACCACTTCTACAGTTGAAACATTAGATTGATGTCATAGCTGTATTTTAACACCGTTAACGCATGAAACAGTGTTATGGCAACATCACGGTTGTAGGATCAGTTTCAGCCGATACCTTGCACAAGATCTGTGTCCGTGGCTGTCGCTGTACCAGCATCTTACACCATGGCATTTAAGGGCACGGTTGGCTGAAGGAATATGAGCTATTCGTTGGTTCGAATCCAGCTGTCTGTTAGAAGCTAACGCCCTGATAATTCCAATACTTTTACAACAAACATACTCACAACGTTTCCATGCTACGTCACCACCACCTAAACACATGGCCGACTCGTCATTCCGCTAAAACGCTCTGATACAACTCAAATACTTGTAAAACCAACGGGGGCGCGGGTAGCGATTCGCTGTGCAGAGTTGCGTCCCTTGGGCACGCCAGAAACCTATGATTGTGGATTCGAATCCCGGTTCGCCCCGATTATGTTTCTGGGTTTGTCAACACCATACCCGTGCTCGTGGGTTTCGCCGAAGTGGTAAACGTCTGAGACCTGCATCACTTTGGGCTTTCCTCCCACATTAAGCTGACACGCCGCGATATAACTGGAATACTGTTAAAAGCGGCGTTAAACCCAACTCACTCACTCACTCACTCACTCACACACTCACTCATTCACCTTAAAACCAACATTCTTTGCCTTGCGACTTCAGCTTTATGAAAATACCATCATTAAAACACATCGCCGACTCCTCATTAAACACATCGCCGACTCCTCATTAAACACATCGCCGACTCCTCATTAAAACACATCGCGGACTCCTCATTAAACACATTGCCGACTCCTCATTAAACACATCGCCGACTCCTCATTTAACACATCGCCGACTCCTCATTAAAACACATCGCCGACTCCTCATTAAAACAAATCGCCGACTCCTCATTAAAACACATCGCGGACTCCTCATTAAACACATCGCCGACTCCTCATTAAACACATCGCCGACTCCTCATTTAACACATCGCCGACTCATCATTAAAACACATCGCCGACTCCTCATTAAACACATCGCCGACTCCTCATTAAACACATCGCCGACTCCTCATTTAACACATCGCCGACTCCTCATTAAACACATCGCCGACTCCTCATTTAACACATCGCCGACTCCTCATCAAAACACATCGCCGACTCCTCATTAAACACATCGCCGACTCCTCATTAAACACATCGCCGACTCCTCATTTAACACATCGCCGACTCCTCATTAAAACAGATCGCCGACTCCTCATTAAACACATCGCCGACTCCTCATTAAACACATCGCCGACTCCTCATTTAACACATCGCCGACTCCTCATTAAACACATCGCCGACTCCTCATTAAACACATCGCCGACTCCTCATTTAACACATAGCCGACTCCTCATTAAAACACATCGCCGACTCCTCATTAAACACATCGCCGACTCCTCATTAAACACATCGCCGACTCCTCATTTAACACATCGCCGACTCCTCATTAAACACATCGCCGACTCCTCATTAAACACATCGCCGACTCCTCATTAAACACATCGCCGACTCCTCATTAAACACATCGCCGACTCCTCATTAAAACACATCGCCGACTCCTCATTAAACACATCACCGACTCCTCATTAAAACACATCGCGGACTCCTCATTAAACACATTGCCGACTCCTCATTTAACACATCACCGACTCCTCATTAAACACATTGCCGACTCCTCATTAAACACATCACCGACTCCTCATTAAACACATCGCCGACTCCTCATTAAAACACATCGCGGACTCCTCATTAAACACATTGCCGACTCCTCATTAAACACATCGCCGACTCCTCATGGTGAATGTACCTTAACTGTGTAAGAATAGGAAAGATAATATTGCAGTTTGTCTGTCGGCTTTTGTTCAGTACGTGTGAAGTGATTTTGAACAATGATTTCAGGTTATTAATGTATGTAAAGATATGTAAACGTGTATTTCCTAATTATGTCATGATATTTCCTTCAATATGAATAAACATATACCAGCTTGCTCTAGTCTCGTTCGTGATGAAGGAAATCCATGTATCTTATCTAATCAGGTCAGGTTCTAACGTCAACACTCTAACATTCATTAAACAGTATATAACTACAATCAGTAACATTTGTCAGCAAAGAACAACCGCCTTGTTATAGCATCAAATACACCTGCTTTATCCGTGCAGGTACATGTATGGTTTGTCCAGGTATCTAAGGCATCGCAAATCCATGTGCAAGATTGACGCCCATAGTTGTACCAGGATCCGCTGAATGATCACCTGTGCTATGATTGTTCAACGTTTTCCTTTCTCATCCACATTATGGTCGTTCTGATGTAGACTGTTGCTCATTCTATCAACCACTAGTCGTTACCCAATTACGTCATACACTTGCCCTGTTAGTAGTTGTGGTTTGTGGGGGTTGACATCACCTGCGGGGCGGCCGGGTAGCCTAGTTGTTAAAGCGTTCACGCGGAAGACCCGGGTTCGATTCCCGACACGGGTAAAATGTGTAAAGCCAATTCCTTGTGTTCCCTGCCGTGATATTGATGGAATATTGCTAAAAGCGGCGTAAAACCATACTCACTCACTCACTCACTGAAATCACCTGCAGGTGTGGCAAATGTTCTGGCAACATTTCCATTATCCATTACACACATTTGTACAGCTCCGCGAGATGAGGTTAAATGTGGTTTAGCGTCGAGTTCAAGATTATTGCCCTTAAATAGCGACGTGCATGGACATGTGGGTGCTCGCGCTTCTGAATGTATAGGAGTGTGTGTGCTTATATGAAGCCGTTATTTCCCACTCTGACGCATTATACTGATTCCGACGCCGACCAGTCCTTTTTTTGTCCAGTTTGTGCTGACTACCAGACAAGGTATCAACAAGTACCGTCTTCCAACGTCTTTTGGTATGACGCGCCCACGGAATCGAACCACTGGTCTTACGTCATTCGGGCATACGCTCTGTCCACTATACATCGAATCCAGTAAAAATCGTCATTGTGACATTTTTGGCTATCATTTGTACATGTATGACTGGATGAGTGTCAAACTCTTAAATTGAAAAAAAAAAATCATATATATGAAAATAATGTCCGATGTATTTTCTCTTCGCTTTCTGATTCATGCAATCTTAATTATGTACAGAAATGCAACGTGATAACGAACGATAAACAAGTGGGAGTTCTATGTGATAATGCCCTCACAATAATGAACATAATATAAATAATGAAAATTCTATTTGATGAAACTACATAATGCACAGAAATCACACATTTCTCTTCTTATCATCAATGGCAAATAACTTAAATAAAAAATATGACAAACAAGAACCAGTATTGTAGTTCGAAGAGTTAAATTATCATGCTTTTTGAGCGTCACTGAAGAACGGCAATTCCATTGTAACGTTTGTAGTATTTGTAACGTTTAATATCCTTGACGGTTTCCTACAACAAAGCAAGAGTTGGGTTCTGAAAGCTGTCTGTGGAATATCTGGACAATGTAAAATGTATGGAATATGTGGGATGTGTTGAATATGTAGAATATTTGGAAGGTGTTGAATGTGTGGAATATGTGGAATGTGTGGAATGTGTGGAATATATGGAATGTGTGGAATGTGTGGAATGTGTGGAATATGTGGAATGTGTGGAATGTGTAGAAGATGTGGAATGTGTTGAATATGTGGAATATGTGGAATGTGTGGAAGATGTGGAAGATGTGGAATGTGTGGAATGTGTGGAAGATGTGGAATGTGTTGAATATGTGGAATGCGTGGAATGTGTTGAATATGTGGAATGCGTGGAATGTGTGGAATATGTGTAATGTGTGGAATGTGTGGAAGATGTGTAATGTGTGTAATGTGTGGAAAATGTGGAATGTGTGTAATGTGTGTAATGTGTGTAATGTGTGTAATGTGTGGAAGATGTGGAAGATGTGGAATGTGTGGAAGATGTGGAATGTGAGGAATGTGTGGAATGTGTGGAATGTGTGGAATGTGTGGAAGATGTGGAATATGTGGAATATGTGGAATATGTGGAATGTGTGGAATGTGTAGAATGTGTGAAAGATGTGGAATATGTGGAATGTGTGGAATGTGTGGAAGATGTGGAAGATGTTGAATGTGTGGAATTTGTGGAATGTGTGGAATGTGTGGAATATATGGAATGTGTGGAATGTGTGGAAGATGTGGAATATGTGGAATATGTGGAATGTGTGGAATGTGTGGAATGTGTAGAATGTGTGGAAGATGTGGAATATGTGGAATGTGTGGAATGTGTGGAATGTGTGGAAGATGTGGAAGATGTGGAATGTGTGGAATGTGTGGAATGTGTGGAATGTGTGGAAGATGTGGAATGTGTGGAATGTGTGGAATGTGTGGAATGTGTAGATGATGTGGAATGTGAGGAATGTGTAGGAGATGTGGAATGTGTGGAAGATGTGGAATGTGTGGAAGATGTGGAAGATGTGGAATGTGTGGAATGTGTGGAAGATGTGGAATGTGTGGAATATGTGGAATGTGTGGAATGTGTGGAATGTGTGGAATATGTGGAATGTGTGGAATGTGTAGAAGATGTGGAATGTGTTGAATATGTGGAATATGTGGAATGTGTGGAAGATTGGGAAGATGTGGAATGTGTGGAATGTGTGGAAGATGTGGAATGTGTTGAATATGTGGAATGCGTGGAATGTGTGGAATATGTGGAATGTGTGGAAGATGTGGAAGATGTGTAATGTGTGTAATGTGTGTAATGTGTGTAATGTGTGGAAGATGTGGAATATGTGGAATGTGTGGAAGATGTGGAAGATGTGGAATGTGTGGAAGATGTGGAATATGTGGAAGATGTGGAATGTGTGGAAGATGTGGAATATGTGGAATATGTGGAATTTGTGGAATGTGTGGAATGTGAGGAATGTGTAAAATAAGAATGACAAGGGGCCTTGCTCCAGAAGTCCAGTTATGCAAGTTGGTTAAGGACAAAGCATTGTTTCCAGTGAAACCCTGTCAGTCGTGAAGATATAAAACCGAGTCCGGGCCGGGCAGAGGTGGGGTGTCTTTCTCTATACAGCACGTGTTGTGTTATTGACAGGCGTTTTCGTCCTACCACTACCCTTTCTTCTTCTATCCTTTCTTTTTTTCTTTCCATCCTTTTGAGCTTTTCTCCCCTTTTCCCCCTTTCTCCCCTTCACCCTCTTCCGTCCCCCTTTTCTTCTCTTTTGACTTTTCCCGCACCCTCTCAATAACGCCTTCACACATCTGTGGTAGTTGGTGGCCTTATGCTGTTTCTGTAAACACTTTCCGAAACATTTCATTTGTTTAAATATAAATCTAGCGTTCATTGTCTGTGTAGCCTCTGAGGAAAGAGTGATATTGTAGCATTGTTATCCGGCCAGTTCAAATCCTCGTCATGAACTTTTGTGAGAGTGGCACCGATGCGTTCATTAGATGTACAGGTATACAACACGGCCGCTTCTGTTTGTGTTTTCTTGTATATCTGCAGCAGGTGCCCGGTGTATTGAGACAAGACGTGGATAGCGGCCAGATGGCTCTCTTGCTTCTGAATCTGAACCCGGCAAAGACAGAGAAGAGCAGAGTTAGACTGATTATAGACATGGGGAAATCGTCCAAAATGTCCAACAGTAATGACCAGAGTCTTTGTATAAAACGTACTGCTATCTACCTTTAGTGGCAGAGGGATTAGCGACGTCATGGTAGCCGATGACGTCACAATGGTTTTCACATTATTGTGATGTAATTTCATTTCATTATCCAGGCAATAACTCCAGATGAGCGTATCCTGTCTCACTGGTGGCGCCCGTCACAAACACATGCAAAGGCCAGGTCATCAACGTTTGAGTGAGTGTCGATGGCGATCTTTGAAGCTTTCGTCGAAAGCATTTTCTCGATTGTAAACCAGTGAGATAAACTTGTTCTCACGATCAGTTGAATATGTAAATTATGTCATCTAGCATGAACTACTAATAATAAGTTGTCGATGGGTTGGGTTGTCGAAACTTACCCCTTTCAGGAGATTCCTCTTGGCTGGACGGAGTATGTTCCCATTTGTTGTTCCAGGCCACTTGTCAGGTAGCTTGAAACACAACATACAGGTGAGTGAGAGAGTGAGTGAGTGAGTGAGTGAGTGAGTGAGTGAGTGAGTGAGTGAGTGAGTGAGTGGCTGGACGGAGTATGTTCCCATTGGTTGTTCCAGGCCACTTGTCAGGTAGCTTGAAACACAACATACAGGTGAGTGAGAGAGTGAGTGAGTGAGTGAGTGAGTGAGTGAGTGAGTGAGTGAGTGAGTGAGTGTGTGAGTGAGTGAGTGAGTGAGTGTGTGAGTGTGTGAGTGAGTGAGTGAGTGAGTGAGTGAGTGAGTGAGTGAGTGAGACACATCTCAGACTTTTACTACTACTCCTACAACTACTACTACAAGAAGGTTTCACTACTACTACTACTTCTACTACTACTACCTCTACCACTACCACTACAATTACCACTACCACCACCACTACCACTACCTCAACCACTGCCACTGCCACTACCACCACCGCTACCGCGACCACTACCACTACCACCACCATTACCACTACCACTACCACTACCGCCACCACTACCACCACCACTACCACTACCACCACCACTAACACTAACACTAACACCACCACTACCACTACCACTAACACCACCACTACCACTACCACTATCACCACCACTACCACTAACACTAACACCACCACTACCACTACCGCCACCACTACCACCACCACTACCACTACCACCACCACTACCACTAACACTAACACCACCACTACCACTATCACCACCACTAACACTAACACTAACACCAACACTACCACTACTACTACTACCACAACTACAACTGCTGCTGCTACTACTACTACTTCTAATACCACAACTACTACTACTACTACCACAACTACAACTGCTGCCTCTGCTAATACTACTACTACTTCTAACACTACTAACAATTTTAATAAAGTAATAAGCCATTTCAAATGTTGTCTGTCGTGGTGTTCACCATTATACGTGCGTGTATATGTGTTGTACACGCCGTGACTCATGTTGGTTTTATAGTGCTCGCCCACTGATGCTTCATTAACATGGATACCCCACCCAGACACAGTATACTGACTCCGAGCCGACCAGTTCTCATTTAATCCCCGTACAGTACAGGCCCACTGAGATACCATGCTGCAGTTTTAAATCAATACCCCACCCAGACACAGTATACTGACTCCGAGCCGACCAGTTCTCATTCAATCCCCGTACAGTACAGGCCCACTGAGATACCATGCTGCAGTTTTAAATCAATACCCCACCCAGACACAGTATACTGACTCCGAGTCGACCAGTTCTCATTCAATCCCCGTACAGTACAGGCCCACTGAGATACCATGCTGCAGTTTTAAATCAATACCCCACCCAGACACAGTATACTGACTCCGAGTCGACCAGTTCTCATTCAATCCCCGTACAGTACAGGCCCACTGAGATACCATGCTGCAGTTTAACATGGATACCCCACCCAGACACAGTATACTGACTCCGAGCCGACCAGTTCTCATTCAATCCCCGTACAGTACAGGCCCACTGAGATACCATGCTGCAGTTTAACATGGATACCCCACCCAGACACAGTATACTGACTCGGAGCCGACCAGTTCTCATTCAATCCCCGTACAGTACAGGCCCACTGAGATACCATGCTGCAGTTTTAAATCAATACCCCACCCAGACACAGTATACTGACTCGGAGCCGACCAGTTCTCATTCAATCCCCGTACAGTACAGGCCCACTGAGATACCATGCTGCAGTTTAACATGGGTACCCCACCCAGACACAGTATACTGACTCGGAGCCGATCAGTTCTCATTCAATCCCCGTACAGTACAGGCCCACTGAGATACCATGCTGCAGTTTAACATGGATACCCCACCGAGACACAGTATACTGACTCGGAGCCGACCAGTTCTCATTCAATCCCCGTACAGTACAGGCCCACTGAGATACCATGCTGCAGTTTAACATGGATACCCCACCCAGACACAGTATACTGACTCCGAGCCGACCAGTTCTCATTCAATCCCCGTACAGTACAGGCCCACTGAGATACCATGCTGCAGTTTAACATGGATACCCCACCCAGACACAGTATACTGACTCCGAGCCGACCAGTTCTCATTCAATCCCCGTACAGTACAGGCCCACTGAGATACCATGCTGCAGTTTAACATGGATACCCCACCCAGACACAGTATACTGACTCCGAGCCGACCAGTTCTCATTCAATCCCCGTACAGTACAGGCCCACTGAGATACCATGCTGCAGTTTAACATGGATACCCCACCCAGACACAGTATACTGACTCGGAGCCGACCAGTTCTCATTCAATCCCCGTACAGTACAGGCCCACTGAGATACCATGCTGCAGTTTAACATGGATACCCCACCCAGACACAGTATACTGACTCCGAGCCGACCAGTTCTCATTCAATCCCCGTATAGTACAGGCCCACTGAGATACCATGCTGCAGTTTTAAATCAATACCCCACCCAGACACAGTATACTGACTCGGAGCCGATCAGTTCTCATTCAATCCCCGTACAGTACAGGCCCACTGAGATACCATGCTGCAGTTTAACATGGATACCCCACCCAGACACAGTATACTGACTCCGAGCCGACCAGTTCTCATTCAATCCCCGTATAGTACAGGCCCACTGAGATACCATGCTGCAGTTTTAAATCAATACCCCACCCAGACACAGTATACTGACTCCGAGCCGACCAGTTCTCATTCAATCCCCGTACAGTACAGGCCCACTGAGATACCATGCTGCAGTTTAACATGGATACCCCACCCAGACACAGTATACTGACTCCGAGCCGACCACTTCTCATTCAATCCCCGTACAGTACAGGCCCACTGAGATACAATGCTGCAGTTTAACATGGATACCCCACCCAGACACAGTATACTGACTCCGAGCCGACCAGTTCTCATTCAATCCCCGTACAGTACAGGCCCACTGAGATACCATGCTGCAGTTTAACATGGATACCCCACCCAGACACAGCATACTGACTCCGAGCCGACCACTTCTCATTCAATCCCCGTACAGTACAGGCCCACTGAGATACCATGCTGCAGTTTAACATGGATACCCCACCCAGACACAGTATACTGACTCCGAGCCGACCAGTTCTCATTCAATCCCCGTACAGTACAGGCCCACTGAGATACCATGCTGCAGTTTAACATGGATACCCCACCCAGACACAGTATACTGACTCCGAGCCGACCAGTTCTCATTCAATCCCCGTATAGTACAGGCCCACTGAGATACCATGCTGCAGTTTTAAATCAATACCCCACCCAGACACAGTATACTGACTCCGAGCCGACCAGTTCTCATTCAATCCCAGTACAGTACAGGCCCACTGAGATACCATGCTGCAGTTTAACATGGATACCCCACCCAGACACAGTATACTGACTCCGAGCCGACCACTTCTCATTCAATCCCCGTACAGTACAGGCCCACTGAGATACCATGCTGCAGTTTAACATGGATACCCCACCCAGACACAGTATACTGACTCCGAGCCGACCAGTTCTCATTCAATCCCCGTACAGTACAGGCCCACTGAGATACCATGCTGCAGTTTAACATGGATACCCCACCCAGACACAGCATACTGACTCCGAGCCGACCACTTCTCATTCAATCCCCGTACAGTACAGGCCCACTGAGATACCATGCTGCAGTTTAACATGGATACCCCACCCAGACACAGTATACTGACTCCGAGCCGACCAGTTCTCATTCAATCCCCGTACAGTACAGGCCCACTGAGATACCATGCTGCAGTTTAACATGGATACCCCACCCAGACACAGCATACTGACTCCGAGCCGACCAGTCCTTGTTGAGCGCCAGGCAGAGTAACAACAAGTTCTTTTAGCGTTTTGGTATGACACGACGTTCGCTCTCCGGGCAGGGGGTCTATCCACTAAACCACGGACGTGGTTATATAGAGGAGATCGTGTGATATATATACCTGTTTAGATAAATGTTCTGCTGTACAGGCCAAATTGTGGCCTCTGTTACAAACAGCACACGTAGAACTTCTGGATGTGTCATCTCTGGCCTCACAGTCGCAGGACACACCTGCATGAGAAACATAATTCATATTAGATAGACGATGCAATTAAATATATTTAAAAAGGGCTCTATATTCGGGGGATGTGACTTTCTTAGAAAAGAAATAATAAGTGAAATTTGCAATGTTTTACAAAATACACAGGTTCCGCGCCTCTCATTGACTGACAAAAGTCTTCTGTCCTTCTGTGTCTTGGAGGGGTGAACGAAAACATATACTGTCCTCTAAACGTTTGTAACAATATAGTAACAATATAACACAGAGTGAGTGAGTGAGTGAGTATGGTTTAACGCCGCTTTTAGCAATATTCCAGCAATATCACAGCGGGGGACACCAGAAATGGGCTTCACACATTATAACACGTAGAGTTGGTTTCACTCATTGTGTCCATGTGGGAAATGGAAACACTATTTTCATCGCGACAAACCAACGTTTTAAACACTGCCTTACATATCATAAATATACACGTACGAAATGTTACAAAAGAATTAACACAAGTCGAACCGACGTCAATTAACACTGAAATAAATAATTAAGCATTATATGCAACTGGATAAAATATAATATTATGTTCAGATAACATAATTATAGTAATAAGGATAGTAGAGATTGAATAGATAAGAAATATAAATAATAATAAATATAACACATAATATCATATTCAATATTCGGGTATTGTGTCCACCTAGGATTGCGGTTCCGAAGACTATAACTGTGAAAATATCCATCACACAGTTCGCAATGAGTCGCTGATCAGTGGAATTGATGTCAAATCAACATTCAAGACCTTTTTATAATGTACGAATTCCTACTTGAGATGGGAATTTCAGAGATGTTTTTCTTGCTACTTACATGAAGTCATGCGGAGTATCGGTTGCCATGGTAGAACAAAGAGACATGTCCAGTGTGACAGATTTTCACATCGAGAGTGTCTGCGCCAAGGTGAAGCATTAGGCCGCTACTGTTACTGTTATACTTGGATATCTTCACCCCCACACTCAGCTACCGGTTTCAGACATTTACTTCCTTGATGCACCCGTGGCAAGACGGGCAGGAGGTTGACATGACACAGTGTGGTGGTTTAGGATGTTACAATCCCCGCGGCATACCCATAACGAACAGTCGCTGATTTCGAAGGACTTGCGATAATAGCGTCAATAAAAATGAAACACGATTAAGCTTATGGCTGTTTCCCAGCTGTGAAGTGAACATTTCCTCACGACTCGAATCAGTGTTTCAGTGTAGCATGAAACACATGTCCGCTGGGGTATCGTGTGCGCTAGACTGGTGGTACTGCAGTACGTTCAAAGTAGGGGATTCACAGTATCTTCTTTGGTTCATTCTCACAAGCTTTGAGGGGCGGTGGGGTAGACTTGTGGTTAAAGCGTTCGCTCGTCACGACGAAGGCCCGGGTTCGATTCCCATATGGGTACAATGTGTAACCCATGTGTACACCATGCTATTGCTTGAATATTGCTAAAAGCGGCGTAAAACCATACTCACTCACTCACTCACTCACTCATTCACTCACTCACTCACTCACTCACTCACTCACTCACTCACTCACTCACTCACTCACTCACTCACTCACTCACTCACAAGCTTTGACGTTTTGACGTTTTGACGTTTAAAGGGATGCTACGTTCCACAGTCCAGATCCCATGTCCAGTCCAGGTCTAGATGTTGGCGGTATGTACAAAATTGAACCTGGAACAGACAACCCAGTGATTAACATCATGAGCATCGAGCTACGCAGTTGGGATACGATGACATGCATCAACCAAGTCAACGACAAGGATGAGTTAATGAAGACCAATTCTAACCCGGAAGATTTGAAGCACTGACTCAAACTAGGCTAACCATTAACTGCTATTCATCCAAAATTGCGAATTTACAGACAAACAGGCTTCGAATGACTTGAATACACATTGCGGGGTCCGTCAATAAACATGAACCTGGTTCCGCTTTAAATACAATTTTACCTCCAAAACTCCATGTTGCCATGTGGCTCTATAAAGGAAAATATGATTATATTAATTACAAATGACAGTGTCTTCATGTTAAGCCTGAGTTCTAACTACGACAATATTGATGACAAAACAAACTACAGGGGTTGTTGTCGGAAGGAATACGCTTTCCTGTCAATTCGTGTGCAAGGGAGTTTCTCACGTCGCACAGCAAGGAACACATACTTCACAAAGCAGCGGCACAGCAAGGAACACATACTTCACAAGGCAGTCGCAGAGCAAGGAACACATACTTCACAAAGCAGCTGCACAGCAAGGAACACATACTTCACAAAGCAGTCGCACAACAAGGAACACTTGCTTCACAAAGCAGCTGCACAGCAAGGAACACATACCTCACAAGGCAGTCGCACAGCAAGGAACACATACTTCACAAAGCAGTCAGACAGCAAGGAACACGTACTTCACAAAGCAGATGCAAAGCAAGGAACACATACTTCACAAAACAGCTGCACAGCAATGAACACATACTTCACAAAACAGTCGCACAGGAATGAACACGTACTTCACAAAGCAGCTGCACAGCAAGGAACACATACTTCACAAAGCAGCTTCACAGCAAGGAACACATACTTCACAAAGCAGCTGCACAGCAAGGAACACATACTTCACAAAGCAGCTGCACAGCAAGGAACACATACTTCACAAAGCAGCTGCACAGCAAGGAACACATACTTCATAAAACAGCTGCACAGCAATGAACACATACTTCACAAAGTAGTCGCACAGCAAGGAACACATACTTCACAAAGCAGCTGCACAGCAATGAACACATACTTCACAAAGCAGTCGCACAGCAAGGAACACATACTTCACAAAGCAGCTGCACAGCAAGGAACACATACTTCACAAAGCAGCTGCACAGCAAGGAACACATGCTTCACAAAGCAGCTGCACAGCAAGGGTGAAACAAACTAAAAGGACTAAGACCAGCATCACTTTCGGCTTTTCTCCCGCATCAAGGGGGCGATGGGGCAGCCTAGTGGTTGAAGTGTTCGATTCCCCACATGGGTAGAATGTGTGAAGTCCATTTCCGGCGTGCCACGCCGTGATATTCCTGGAATATTGCTTAAAGCGGCGTTACACCATACTCACTAGGAGGTAGATGGAATAAAGATGGATGGAATAGGGATGGATGGAGTGGGGATAGATGGAATAGGGATAGGAGGAATAGGGATCGATAGAATAGAGATAGATGGAATAGGATGGATGGAATAGAGATGGATGGAATAGGGATGGATGGAATAGGGATGGATTGAATAGGGATAGAAGGAATAGGGATCGATGGAATAAAAATAGATGGAATAGGATGGATGGAATAGGGATGGATGGAATAGGGATGGATTGAATAGGGATAGAAGGAATAGGGATGGATGGGATAGGGATAGATGGAATAGGGATGGATGGAATAGGGATGGATGGAATAGGGATGGATGGAATAGGGATAGATGGAATAGGGATGGATGGAATAGGGAAAGATGGAATAGGGATAGATAGAATAGGGATAGATGGAATAGGGATGGATGGAATAGGGATAGATGGAATAGGGATGGATGAAATAGGGATAGATGGAATAGGGATGGATGGAATAGGGATGGATGGAATAGGGATAGATGGAATAGGGATGGATGGAATAGGGATAGAAGGAATAGGGATGGATGGAATAGGGATAGATGGAAGCCAATTATTACTGACAAGTAATATAAATGAACGTGGGTGGGTTGATGGTAATGGTTACAAACCAATAAACTAATCTAATATGTCACAGGGCATATCACCATGGGATGGGGGTAACAGGGAATCATTTTCATGAGGCTGTTTCCAGGTCTGCTTGGCCGACTAGTTTACTGTATGAAGAAATCACTTCGTGATGTTATAATCAGATAAATACCGGGGTTCCTAAAGTTGAGTAGCGGTGAATTCATGTCCGTTCAAAAGTCACGAAAATACCCCAAATCAGGAATAAAAGAAGTGTGCCATTTCTTGGAAGCATGTCTAAAGTATACAGCGCAAGAAGAAATATACCTTTACTAACTTGTAAACACTTGTTGTAAATGTGACATTTACAAGCCAAAGACATTGGAGTAAATATTATGTCTACGAGCGTGAACAATTATTATAAATAAGACATTTACAAGCAAAAGGAATTTTTGTGAATATGACATTTATAAGCCAAAGGAATTTTTATAAATAAGACGTTTACTAGCCAAAGGAAATGTTCGTTTACCTGTGCAGCCATTGCAAAGATCAAACTGATAATCGTCTGTAAATCAAGATTGCTAAGGCGTGGGTTTAGTCATATTTGCAGCTCTATCACAGCGTACAAAAGTATAACAAAAATTACAAAATTACAAAAATAATAAATACACCACGTCATTTGGTACATGTTAGGATTCATTGAAATTTCCTCTTGCAATTGCATTAGAAGAATACAGTAGAGTTGTTTATTGTGCAATGATCTTTTTGTGAGGAATATAAACAATATTTAACTATTAAAACATAGTATTATTGTCAATACCTTTAAAACATACATTAATGCCCCTTATCCGCAAAGCTCCATTTCTGAAACCTATTTTTAAGTACATCTTGGTTTAAATACATTTAGTGGGACACAGTTTCATATCATCAGTACATTGATCCTAACATTTGTTAGTTCGGACATTTTGAACATAACGGAGTTTCACTGTAATACAAGTAGTACAATACTTCTTTTTTTACTGTATTTTGAATTGTGAAATAATTTTGAACGTTTCTATTTCCCCTGTATATATATGGCTTAGAGAATCCCGAGATAATATTGATTAAATTAATTCATTAAATGAAAAGTTTACTGTGGGATATGAACACCGATATGACCGGCTTGTTTGAACTTTGGATGATTCAGCTCCGATAATTATAACATTAGATATTATCCATCAAGAAAACAACCCCCTTTCACAACAAGACAAGTAAGATGTTGCTAGAGAATTGATCTGTTTCGGTTTCTTTGTTTTCTAGTTTCACAGTCATTGTTCCAGTGAGTGTTAGTCAAAGCAACACAGGAAGTATGACACAATGTGCACGTAGTGGCATTAGCGCTGAGCGATTATATTTTAATATATCGCTGTTGTTTATAAAACAGGAATTTCTGAAAGATACAAACTACATCAATGGGCAGTGCAGCCAGAATTATTTATCCCGTTCCCTTAATTTGGGAATTATTTCATAAATGCAATTTTCTGCTGGCAAACATCTACCCACATCTACCGACCCAAGTATGATTGTATTACAACATCTGACAGCTTCAGAACCAGTGTTAGGGGTTTTCACCTGAGTGAACATCGGAGACTTGTATCACTTCGGGTTTACCTCTGGGGGGGGTCGTCTAAGGCGCCGCGATTCGCTCTGCAGAGTTGCGTCCATTGGACACGCCAGAGACCTATGATTGTGGGTTCGAATCCCGATTATGTTTCTAGGTTTGTCAGCGCCATACCCCTTGCTCGATGGTTTAACCGAAGTGGTAAACGTCTGAGACCCGCATCACTTCCGTCTAAAACCCAGAGTTGGGCATGTTTAGGTGAGGAGGCTGATAAAAAGAAATGGGCATAATTTGGAGATGCTTCATCGTACTTTAGTTGTCATAGACACCTAACTGTTTCTTCAGTTCCTTGCAAGAGGTTGCAACTTGACTGGATGGAGGTGAGGGGAAGATTATTGCACTTATGAGTGACGTGCATACATACTTTGATGCCATGCTGCAGTTTTACATGAATACCCCACTCAGAGACAGTATGCTGACTCCGAGCCTACCAGACCTACCATCGATATACCGAGAGCTGAAGTTAACCTGCTTGGCCAAATTACCTTGGATTGACTTTGCCAATCCGAGCATCACTCACTCACTCACTCACTCACTCACTCACTCACTCACTCACTCACTCACTCACCTGCTTGGCCAAATTACCTTGGGTTGACTTTGCCAATCCGAGCATCACTCACTCACTCACTCACTCACTCACTCACTAACTCACTCACTCACTCACTCACTCACTCACTCACTCACTCACTCACTCACTCAGCTGAAGTTAACCTGCTTGGCCAAATTACCTTGGATTGACTTTGCCAATCCGAGCATCACTCACTCACTCACTCACTCACTCACTCACTCACTCACTCACTCACTCACTCACTCACTCACTCACTCACTCACTCACTCACTCACCCCGCCACGCACTCACCCACCCACCCACCCACTCACTCACTCACTCACTCACTCAATCACTCACTCACTCACTCACCGACCCACCCACCCACTCACCCACTCACCCACTCACCCACTCACCCACTCACCCTCTCACTCACTCACTCA